TGCCTAATTTATCAACCACCAAACTCTCTGGATTTCAACATTCTTGACTTGGATTTTTTTTTTCGAGCTATACAAGCAATTCAATATAAGAAGAATGCAAAAACAATAGAAGCACTTGTTCCAACCGTGCAACAGGTAATTTGATCAAATTGTTCACACATATTTCAATGTCTTTTTCAACAACAAATTTACTCATTCATTCATTTCTTGCACAATTGTTTTGTAGGCATTTTTAGAGTACTCGCCACGCCTTGCAAACCGGATGTTTCTAACACTACAAGGTGTCTTGATGGAAGCTATGAAAGTGAAAAGTTGCAGCAAATTCAAGATACCTCACATGAAAAAAGAGACACTAGAAAGAGAAGATCGGCTGCCTTCTTGTATCCCTTGTGATCCATCGTTGCTACATGAAACCGAGGCTACTCTTGCTACATGAAAAAATTAGATTGATGCTATAATTAGTAGACATTCTTGCTGCATGAAACAATTTGATTGATGCTATAATTAGTAGTAGAGGCATTCTTGTAACAGTTTAGCATTATTTATCTAGAACATGCTTCTTACCGATGCTTTGGCGTCGTCCTTTATCGGCAGCAAGCCCTTGTAATGCTCCATGAAAAGCTCGCAGTCCACCTTGATGTGGCCGAGCATGGCATCGATGGAGTAGTCCGCGTGTACAAGACCACAGCTAGGGCATGGATAGAACCGCGAGTGCGCACGGTTCCATGCTTCGCGATCCTCATGGACGAGACCACAGCGACCGCATACAAACGCCCCTGGCGGCAAGGAATCCGACACCACCTCCATGGAGTCCAGCAACTCCGGCGTGATGGAGTCCGGCGGCATCTGCGACTCCGGCACCACCTCGTCTGGCTCCTGCGAGTCCAGCGCCACGCCGTCCGCGGGGACCAGCACGTTGCCCTCATCTGGCTCTTGCGAGTCCAGCGCCACGCCGTCCGCGGCGACCTCCTGCGAATCCGGCACGACGCCGTCCGCGGCGAGCAGCACGATGACCTCGTCCAGCTCCTGCGAATCCAGCGCGACGGACAGCAGCGGGTTGGAGTCCACGGACAGCAGCGGGTCGACGATGTCCTCCGCGGCGACCTCCTCCGACTCTGGCCCGATGTCCTCCGCGGCGAGCACCTCCGACTCCGGCCCGACGCCGTCCGCAGCGACCAGCACCCGCGCACCGCCGGTCTCCATAGAGACAAAACGAACCAAACAGTACTAAACCCTAGCCGCCGGAATCCACAGGTGAGCGTGAGGGAGATGAAGTAGGCGTGCGGACAGGCGGCGATCGTGCTGTGGGCGGTCTGCGTGCTGAGGCGATCTCTTCAATCGAGGAGTCCGCCATTAATGATGAGGAGACCATGCGAACGGGCGGCCATGCGAACGGGCGGCGCGCGTGCCTAGCAAGGGGTAATCGCGTCCAAAATCGCCCTCGTTATCGTGAACGACTTCTTTTGCCGCAACCGGCCTGGCCTCCAGAACGACACCTAAAAACGATATGGAGGGAGTATTTAATAGGAGTTTTTTTACTGCCCAAAATTTAACTTTAATCATCAATATATAAGTTCTTTAATGGCAATAATAAACCTGTAATAATTAGAAATGTGTTAAATATTAACCATATGAAAAGTAGTAATACATAACTCATACATTGTTGAACTAGCCGAAAGTCAAACCACAAACTTAACCCATCAAAACATCCTCACCTACATTCTCTCTATATATAGTTCCACATGTTCCGAAAACCCAAGATAAGACTGATGTCTAGTGGATCATTTTTTGCACAATATAAACTCAAAATTTACAATGAGAAGAGCATAAATTCTTCACATTTTCTATTCTACAAGTGCCTGAAATTGGAGCTCTTCTTCGGCAGGGGCATCGGTCCGAGATTGAAAACTCTTGCAGTTTTAGAAAAAAAGGGCTTGGAGGAGACCAACTGGCTAGGCAAAGCAGGTGGGCACGGGAATGGAGCCATTGTATGCTGCGAGCGGGGGTGGATGGTGGTTGGACCAGGGATGGAAGGGATGACTTTAGGGGAGTGGACGAAGATCAAATGCGGCGTCTGAGAGGTCGCCGAGGATGGGGCAGGTCGCCGAGAGATCGGGGCAAGTGTTAGAAAAAGACGAAGGTTGAAGATGACTCTATTGCCGTAAGATGAGGATCCAACCGTCTTTTTGCTTGAAAATATATAAAAAAAATGGACTATAATGTACAACTTTCCTTCAATTCTTATACAACAAACTAGAAAAACTCAAACTTCCACAAGAACTCACCCTTCATCGTCCCATTGCTACTCCCTCCGTTTTCTTAGTGTCGTATTTGGTTTCGGAAGGGCTACCCTCGGACATCTGGCCGCAGGAGGCGTCCGGATGATGCTTCCGTTCGAGCGCATCGATCGATAGAAGTGGGCCCCTATCCTGTAACAAAAGCGTGCCCGTAACCACGCAGCGCCGTAACAAAGCAGGAGCGTGCCTGTCGCGCTCGCCTCACCCCGCCTGCGGATGTGTGTCGCGGATCGGAGGCATCTGCTGGCATCAGGCACCCGCACGGTAACCTACGGTGGTGCCCTAACAGCAGCAGCAGGCGGCTGTGGCAGTTGGATCACATTGCAACATGTGCAATACCCGATCAACTTTTGAAACATACAGATGCAACACTTGCAACATACGTCTGAAGACAGATGAAATAATTGATACATGCATCTAAAACACTTACAAAAACACTTGAAATCCATCGCAAACCATACGCAACATCCGGATAAAACACTTGCAACATACGTGTGAAGCATATAAAACATCCAGATTAAAACACTTGCAACATATGTCTAAAAAAATAAATGAACACATTGGGAAGAGAAGCTTACAGCATACATGTACATACATTTCAACATATGCAGCATCCATATGAAACACTTATAACATACCTCTGAAATAACTGAAACACTTGAAACAGACGCTTGCAACATGCGCCTTCAAGCGTAACATCTACTTGCTGCTTGGATAAAATGGAGGCTCATCGACGCGGAGCTCGACGCCGGCGTCGAGCTCGATGCTGCGGAGTGGTGAGGGAGGGATGCCAGCGGGCAGGCAACTGCGTGGCCCTGGCGAGCAGCTATGCGGCTCCTATGATAGGGTGGGCGGGTGCGGTACCCCCGCGACGAGGCGGCCCTGCGATGGAGGCGGCGAGCGCATGCACCGCCTGGCGGCGAAGGACCCTGTGCCGGAGAAGGTGGGCAGGAGGCGGGCGGCGCGGTGGAGTCGGACGAAGAGGTCAGAGATAACGTGTGGATAAGGCCTTCTGATCGAGCGAACATGAGTGGGTCAACTGGTATGTCCATGCGGACTGACGCACCTATTATTATCATTATTCCCTCTGTCCTAAAATAGAAGTTATTCTCGTTTTTTTAAAAAAAAATTATTTTTTAACTTTGATCAATTATATATAAAATAATATTAATATTTATAATATATAATTAGTATCGTGTGTATATATATATACATATATATATATATACGTATATATATATACACACACACGTATATATACGTTGAATATACTTTATTTAACTTTTTTTATTTTAACTGCACTCTGCATGGCTGCATGCAGATTTAATTTGCGTGGAAGAATCGAGGCGGCTTTTAACTGCAAGACTCTGCGCGACTCTTCGAAAAAAACGATTAAACCGAATACCACATCTAATACCGACGATTTCCAGCTTCAGAATATGATGAGTGAGATCAATTTGACAGAAGGAAGAGATGGGGTCGTCTGAGCCTTGGAAAAATCTGAAAAATATTCAACGAAATCTCTGTACAAACTGATGACCTTTGGAGGTATTAGAGATGTTCACATGATGAGGATATAGAATTGCAACATTCCTCTAAAAGTGAAAAATTTTCTCTGGATGGCAGCTCAGGACAGAATCCAATCAAGTGTTCAATTAAAGAAGAAACAATGGTCAGGCCCGGAGAAATGTGCTGTGTGTGACCAATTGGAAACCACATATCACATTCTCTTCCAGCCCCGTTGCTGTTTATCTATGGTCCTTTCTCAGAGATTCATTTGGATGGTTGAAATCACCTACCAGCTGTGTAGAGTTCTTCTCGGAGGTGTTAGAAGCTGTTAGAGGAAAAAAAACAAAAAGTAACTTTGTTCATTTGTGCAGTTGCCATGTGGACGATCTGGAATACCCGAAATGATGTGGTGTTTAACAAGAAGCTCTTATCCTCACCGTAAACCATAATCTTCAAGACGTTGATGCTGATCAAGTCATGGAGCCCGTTCGTGAAGCCGAAATTAAAGCCGGTGGCCGACGAAATGATTTCCCTCCTTTCGACAAATGCCTATTAGACTTTCTCTCTTTTGTTTTGAGCTGGAGGCGCCCTTTGTGTTCTTGCTTTTGCAACTCTGTCTTTGCCTTCGCTTAGCGAGGTGTTAGAAAGTTAGAGGTAATCGTAGAGCTTTTCTGAGCTACTGCTTTTGGTGATGTTGAAGCTTTAGAGTTCGGTTAAGTCATGTTGGGAGTCGAGTTAAACTCTATGCTCAAATTGTTAAGTTGGTATCACCAGCCTCGGATCTTGGGCTTTCGTTAAGTTTTATATAAAGCTGGGTGAATGCCTTCGAAAATACCGACGATTTCCAAGAACCAAATGTGACACCTAAAAAACTGAGGGAGTATTCGTTAATATAAAAGCCAAGTTATTATGTTTTCCTATAAACTTCGTTTGCGCTTTAAAACCACAATGGAGAATCAAAACAAAAAAATATGTTCCTCCTACAAATTCTGAATCGGAATCGAAAAAACGGGAAAAAGAAGCGGACTAACTAAAAGCGTGTCACTATAGGAGCACGAGTCGGAATATTTGTAGGGTGCCCATATAACTACACGTTTGCCCACCGCACGATGAGCCCCGTCTTTGATTCGAGCCGCATGCGCCGAGGCCCCTGCTTTCCAAGAACTCTAGTTTTTAGAGAGCAGAGAAAGTCCAATGGAGAAGCACATGGCGCAAACTCTGATCGAGATCGACAGCCGGATCCCTGACGCCCTCCGCGTCGCCTTCGGCATATGCCGCCCCTCGTGTCCAGCGATTTTGCGCGGCCAACAGGACGAGGCAGCCAACTTCGCCGCCGTCCTGCTCGCGCCGCGCGACGACGCCGGCGCCAGCGACCCCATGGACTACGACGAGGCAGAGCCGGAGGGAGACCTGGGGATGATGTTCGCGTCGTCCTACATAAAGGATCACGACGAGGACGCTCACTTCGGGCACGCCGAGGCCGGCGTCGTTGGCGTGGCCGACGGCGTTGGCGGGTACCGCAAGAAGGGCGTCGACGCGTCGGCGTTCTCCCGCGCAATCATGCACAACGCCTACGCGGAGGTGGCGACCGCCGTGCCCGGCACGCGCATCTGCCCCCGCGCGCTGCTGGAGCGAGCGCACCAGATGACGGCCGCGAAGCACACGCCCGCCGCGTCCACGGCGGCCATCGTCTCCCTCGCCGGCCGGACCCTCAAGTGGGCGTACGTCGGCGACAGCGGGTTCGTGGTGATCCGCGACGGCAGGATCCTGCTTCGGTCGCGGCCGCAGCAGCACTACTTCAACTGCCCCTACCAGCTCAGCTCAAATCAGGACTGCAACAGGCTCGCCGACGCGGACGTCGGCGAGGTCGCGGCGAAGGAAGGCGACATTGTGATTCTGGGCACGGACGGGTTGTTTGACAACGTGTTTGACGACGAAATCGAGCGCATCGTGCGGATGGGCACGGCGTTGGGGTTCGCGCCCGAGAACATGGCGGAGGTCATGGCGGGCTTCGCTTGCGAGGCTGCGAGCTGCGACGACAGAGACACGCCGTACAGCTCCTTGGCCTGCCGGACACAGCCAGGGAATGCTTACTTCACGGGCGGGAAGCCGGATGACATCACTGTAGTCGTCGTCTACATTGTATCATGCCCTGTCCGATCTCAAATATAGTCCATTATTGTGATTTTTTTAGAGGAAATCGGAGCTTCATATATTCGCCCCGTTCTACAGCACTACTTCAGCAACGAACAATGTTTTTCTCTCACACATTTCAGCATAAGCGTCAACATAAACCAAAATTTCAACGAAACGAACTGGGCCATTAATTATGATCAAATTACAATCAGCGGATATGATGTCCCTCAGTCCTGGTGGGGTTATAAGATACTCCACCACCCGGTTATGTTGGGACACCATACGAGCACACTCATGAGCTATTTTATTACAATTGCGACTAATGAAACTCAAATGAAAATCTTCAAAGCTCCGGCTCAGATCCTCCAACTGTTGTAGAAGCGGGGCAATCTCTGAATTTTGGCTTGTGCGGTTCATCCACAGACTTACTAAGACCTGTCAGTCAGTCTCCAAATGCAGCTTCCGCACGCCCCGGTTCTGTGCAAACACCATGCCGCCATCACGGCAGGCTATGGCTTCTGCAGCTAAGGGGTTCAGGCAGCAGTCATACTAGATGGCCTTCCCTCCACAAGCTCTGCCTTCCTAATCATGGAGAACCAGACCTGACGCAGCAGCTCAGGTCTCAGCATGGAATGAGGCGTCAACATTGCCTTTAACCCATCCCGGCTCCGGCCTTTGCCAAGTCTGACGGTTGCTCACTAAACTTGCAGATGGTTTGGTCCGGTGCATTTCCTGCCAAAGATCAAAGGCGGTGTCAATTGCCCATTGAGCTGCTATCTGCATCGGCACCACTCCTTCACCAATGGCGTCTCTTATTTCTTGTCATCCACAGCGACCACGAACCGCACAAAATCACAGCTGCGTTCTTCGGCGATATAACATCTGGGTTAATCAGGTCACACCGGTCAGCAGCTTCACTTCTTCCCAAAAATATTTAGCCACCGTGCAGTCCAGCAGGGCGTGCTTGATTGACTACCATACACATCCGCGCCACACACTTCACAGTGTGCTGTTGGTTCAACATGTCGTCGGTACGTGCAAGACCCCCCTAGTCGGTAGGAAGCCAATCAGCACCCTCCACCAGAACACCTGGACCTTAGGTGGCACACACATCTTCCAGCATCTCGCCCAGGATGGATCACCTGAAGATGAAGCTTGGTTTTCCACCATCCCAGTATATTGATCATCATACAGGAGCCTGTACGCCGACCGGACCGAGTGGAGTCCATGTCTCTCCAGCTCCCGGGCCCAAGTATCATCCCTTATTGTGGTTTTGTGCACGATCTTTTACAACTCTTCAGTCCCAGTTCATGGAGGCGATCTGCTGTCAGCCATAGTCGATGATGATGAGCCGTGGCGTCAGGCCACCCATCGATAGGCTTTAAGTTTAGAGGAGGATTACTCTACTATGAACATTGAAACCGACAATTCATCAAAAAATAAAATGGAAGACACACACAGGAACAGAGCATGAAGGGAATCTGCAACGGATGGAAGAGAGGGAGAGGGTACCTTTGGAGACCTTGTTTGACACTGCCCGCGCTGAACTAGTCGAGGAACAACGACAGCTTGTGGAACATCTGTAGGTGCTTCTCCACCGGCTTAAGGGCGGGCGTGATGGTGTCGAAGGGCTTGTCGGCTGTCGCGGTTGTGGAGGTACATCGTGTGCATGCCCTGCTCCATCTGCACCGCCTTGTCTCCTACGAGGAGTCTCGTAAGATATTTGTTTGGTTCTAACAAAAGACAATTTCTTAAAGCGAAATTAGAGGGGTGACGAGAAATGTTGTTTTTTAACGACAATGAAACCATCCAACATTTATTTTTTGAGTGTCATATAGCATGTTTTGTTTGGAGGATTGTTCACATAACATTTGGCTTATCACCTTCAATGAATATGACTATTTTTTTTCTTTGCCATACATGGTTAGAGCATCTCCACCAAATTGAGAAAATATGATCGCCTTCCCCTGTAACCAGTGAGGGGATTGAAAACCAAAAAACAAGTTTTAATGGATCCTTTCCAAATCTCTTTACCTAATTTTTGTCTCAATTAAGATAAGAAAAATCATCCCTCAAAGAAAAGGGAGAGCAACTCATCCCATTTCCCTCACCCCGCCGTGCATTGGACGAAGCAGCCGCTCCTCGTCCGTAAAATAGTTTCAGAAAACTCAATCAAATTAAAATAGCTTGACTTAGAATAGAACTGAAGCATTAAGTTTTTTTTTGGAACGGAGTAATTTTTAATACTAACTAATGGATCCAAGTAAGACCTTACTTGTCAGATAGGCATAGGCCACTGATCGGGCCGACCGGCCGAGCCGTTAGGTGCGTATCTGACAGTCAGCCATGTCATATTGTGGGCAGCTGCTCTGTGCTCATAAGTTCACTCTTTAAACTGAACGGTGCCTACACGCCTTATTGAGGAGAGAATGAGAATGAGTCAATGAAAAACGTCTTGTCAGATTAGCGGTGCCTGCACGCCTTATTACAACTGATCGGCAACTGGAAAAGCTAAAAAGATGTCATGTTGTGTTTTTTTTCTATCTGATGATAGTCCTGCATCCGACACATCAACTGCTCGCTTGAACTTATCAGTTCGGCTTATTAACCATGGTACATTATTTTTCTCTCACAACAAAACAACATCAGCCGACTTATCGGTCGGAAACAGCTCGGTGGTTTTACGCTCTCTCAATAGCTAATTTTTTCTTCGTATCTTCTGTCCGCCACCCCGTTGCGGCGTGGTAGACGAGACCCTACCGTAACCACAGCGACCTCCTCCTTTCCCTCCCCCGTAGCCGTCATGGCCATGGCCACCCCCGCCCTAACCTGGTTCGGCCGCCTCCACCTCGCCGTCGTCTCTTTCGCCCCCACCGCTTGGCGTGTCTGCCTCCCCAAAAATCTTTTCTACGTCCACCGAAGATGGAGAAGGGTGGGAGAGGAGGCGGAGACGGAGAAGAAGAAGAATCGAGGGTTCCAACGCTCGAGTGTTGAATAGTATTTCTCGAAATATGTAATCGGGATTGTTGGAAAAGGGTAGAAATAGACTACATAGCAATCAACCACACTAGTGAACTGGTTTTTTTTATTGGATAATACACAACAACTCAACAAGATGCAAGCGAGCAGGGTAAGCTCAAATAAGGGAAACATGCATACATAGGCTGCTTCATCTCCTTATTCATCATGAACCAGGCAGTTCTTATATTGTATATATGATCGCAGTCGCAGCCAATCCGGACCTGATCGAGAGACTCTTCAGAAGCTCAAGTGATGGTTTTGGCGGCCTTGTATTTGTTGAGGAAGGGCATGGTGGTGAGCCCCTTGGTCATGAGTGGCTGCACCATCGCCCACGCCCACACACCTGTCTTCTCCTTGGCTTTCTTCTCGATGACGGTGACAATGTCTTCCTCGACGTGCCGATGATCTCTTCCGCAGCTGGGCCCAGGTCAACGCGTTCAATCTCGAAGCCGCCGTCTTTTGTAGTGCTACTATTGACACGGACGAGGGTCGGGCCACTGAACAGGTTGTGCTTGCCGGCAATGGCCTCTGGTACGCTCCAGAGAAGAGTACGGCCACGTAGTAGCCACCGAGGCTCGGGTCGGGCGGGTGCAGCGGCAATGTCTCGTCGCCGCTGATGAACTTCTCGATCTTCCCGTCGCTGTCGCAGGTGATGTCCACCAGCGTGCCCTTGAGCGTCGGCTTCTCGTTGAGCCGGCTCACCGGCATCATCGGGAAGAGCTGCCCGATGCCCCAGAAGTCGGGCACCAGCGAGAACACGGACATGTTCATGTGGTAGCTGTAGATGGTGTTGGCATCGGCGACGACCCTCTTGTAGAGCTTCTTGGCAAGCTTGTACATCTCGATGCCGTGCTTCTTGAAGTCTGCGGCGTGCGAGTAAGCCCGCCGTGGCGCTGCCGCCAACTGGAGCTCTCGGCTGCTTGTAAGAGAGGTCCTGGATCCTCTTCAGCAACTGCTCAGAGGTGTCCTCGTCCTGCGGCTTGGGGACCGCCGAGAGAGCCTCGAGGATGATCATGGAGTGGTGCGACGCCATGGCACGCCCGCTCTCGGTGCACACGACCGGGTGCTCGACGCCGTTGTACTCGCACTTGAGCCGCGCCGCCTGCACGACGGCGGAGGCGTACTCCTGTATCCCGTACGCCACCGACATGTCGGAGTCGCCTGAACGGGTCCCGTCGTAGTCGACCCCGAGCCTGCCGCCGCAGTCCAGCCCGGTTCCATACTTTCCATCCAGGCTATAAAACGCGAGCCCAACGGCACGGCGAGAGGCACATCAGAAACACGACGCTACACGAGTGCACGCATCATCCGTGTCTGTTAGAATTTGATCTGAATTCTAATATGAGTTAGAATTTGATCCGAATTTCTAATACAAGTCTTGTAGAAATACGTGTACGTCTAGAGAGTCCACGGTTCGAGTCATGTGTTTAGCGGCGTATGGACTGCATGCAGTCGTATTACATCTTGTTTCTTGAACTGATTTTCCATGTGTGTTTGATCTGTATTTGCATTTTTGCTAACATGGTCCTTGGTGCCCGTTTGGTATTCGTTCTCGAGGACATTTGGGCTAGATTAGGGGCAGTATATTATTATCTGTATATGCATGCACCATGGCGACCAACCAAGATGAGGAGCGCACTGGAGACGTTAGAGCAGATCCAGGAAACGCTAGCCGAGATCAAGGGACGAACCCCCGACGTGAGCATCTCCAGGTTCGTCGACTCCGTTTTGGATGATTCGCTGGGGACCGAATACGCGCCGTCGGAGTGGAAGAGCCGTGACGCCGGTCATGGACGCCGCGCGGAGGAACGGTCTGACGACAGGCGGCCATGCGTTCCCACTCTGAAGATGGACTGGGCGGCATGCGTCCTCCCTCTGCACGGTGAGGACGCGCACTTCGGACACGCCGAAGCCGGCGTCGTCGGTGTCGCGGACGGTGTCGGCGGGTACCGGGACCGAGGTGTGGACGCCGGCGCGTTCGCACGAGCTCTCATGGCGAACGCTCTGGCGACGGCGGAGCGGGTGGCCAAGGCCCGCAGGCTCCTCATCCGCCTCTGCCCGATGAAGGTGCTGGAGCGGGCGTACAAGAAAGCGGCCATGAACAAAACACCAGGGGGGTCCACGGCCGTCATCCTGTCGCTCTACGGCACGGAGCTCAGCTGGGCGTACATCGGCGACAGCGCCTTCGCCGTGTTCCAAGGCGGCAAGATCATCTACCGTTCGGTGCAGCAGCAGCGCCGCTTCAACGAGCCGTACCAGCTGAGCACCAGGGGGCGTGGAGGCAGCCTCAGCGAGGCGGAGGTGGGCGGCATGTCGACGGTGAAGGACGGCGACGTCGTAGTGATGGCGACAGACGGGCTGTTTGACAACATGCACGACTGGCAGCTCGAGCGCGCCGTGCGGATGGGCACCGACCTGGGCTTCCCGCCCAAGAACATGGCGGACATTGTCGCGGGCATCGCTTACGAGATATCGAAGGAAAGTTGGGGATGCTCGCCGTTCGGTATCGGATACTTCAAGAAATACAAGAAGGTATGGCATGGTGGAAAGGAGGACGACATTACGGTCATCGTCGCGTATATTGTCTCCAAGGATTCGTGATTTTTTTAGGCTGCCATTGATTTTTTTAGGAACCATTGGACGCTAGCAAAATGTTAGTTTGTTCTAGCCTTATATATGATTAGTAGCAGAACTGTCCTGCGGTGTAATAGAAGACGGGCAGCTAGCGCCCGGACGTCCGACCTCAGGATGCATCCGGACGCTGCTCCCGTTCAAGCGCACCACCACGCCCCGTCCCATTCCCGTGTAAAGGAGAGCGCTCACCGCGCTCGTGTCACCTATGACATCCCGGTCCCACTGTGCCCGTGCCCAGCCACGTCCCTTTCCCCGCCGTGCCTTGTCACCAAGCTCGAACTATCGCGGCGAGATGAAGGGAAGGGAGGGGAGGGAGAGGAGAGAAGAGGAGAGGAGAGAGTGAGGCGCGTCGCGCGAGGGAGGAGTCGAAGCTCTGCGGCAGACCGTTGTCCACCACTCACCGACGTCAGTGCAACATGTGTGTAAGGGGACCGTGACACCTAAGAGAAGGGGTGAATTAGGCAACTTAAAAATCTACTCTAAACTATGGCATCTATTTTTACCTAGTCAAACCCTATACAAGAGAGTAATCTATCTAAATGTGCAACTATGGTTTTGCTAGGTGTGTTGCTATCTCTACCGCAAAAGAGTTATGCAACATAGGTTCCAATCCTATCAACTAGCCTATCAACTAAGCTAGGAAAGTAAAGCACACAACCAAGGTAGCAAAATAAATGCAGAAGGTAAAGATGAGGTAGAGATGCAAACTCCCGTCGATGACTCCGGTATTTTTACCAAGGTATCGAGAAGCGCTCAAGCTTCCCCCTAGTCCTTGTTGGATCCCCTCGTAAGGAATCCCTCGCAAGGGCCAAGCTCCCGGTCGGGTAACTCCGTGGATAGCCCTGGGCCTTCCCCACGCGCAAGTGGGTCTTCGGTGTGTCTTCCGACAAGCCTCTCCCGGACCGCTCCCCGTCGTCTTCACTATCAAGCTTCCGGCCGAACCGTCGCGGACCTTGTTCCTTTTGGTACACGGTGGCGACCACACCACAAACGCGGTTGGTGTGATCTCGCAAGACTACAAGCCCCTCTGATATACAACAATGGTGCGCGCAAGCATCAAGTGATAAGAGGTGTGCAAACCTCACTAAACACTAGGCCTAAACCTAAAGCAAGCGCATAAGTGGTGGTCTAATCAACCTAAACACTTCGTAAAATACCTACGCTAATCACCTCATGAATCACTAAGCACTATACAAGTGAAGATCACTAAAATGGTATATCAACACCCTTGGTATGTTTCCTCAGCTCTCCTCATCTCAAATGGCCGGTTGGGGGTCCATTTATAAGTCCCATGGAGAAAGTAGCCGTTGGGGACGAAACCCGGCTTTTTGCCATTGACCGGACTCGCAAGTCGTCCTAATCAGATACGTCTGGTCGTCCCAACCGTTGAAGCCAACCGTTAGTGCTCACTGTTGATCGGACTCTCCGGCGAGTCCGATTGCTTACCATCTGAAGCGTCCGATCGACGTATCGTCACTCTAGAACCCCTCTGGAGTTGACCGGACTCAGCCACGAGCGAGTCAAGTCACACTATGCCGTTGCGTCCGATCTTCTATGATCATGGAGCCGAGAGCGCCTGCAGGGGCACCTGTGCGTCCGGTCCCTCAATGTCCCTGCGTCCGATCAATAGCCAACAGCAAAACCCCGCTGCTACAGATCCTAGCACCTGCGCGTCCGGTCTCGGCCTTGTGCCAGCGTCCGGTCGCTGCTGCTGACGCCTGTTGTTGCCGAGCTACTGATTGGCCATGTCCAGTCCTCATAAGGGCCACGTCCGGTCACCTCTGCCAAGCTCGTTTCTTCACGATCTTACATCTGGCTTGGTTCCTATCTTCGTGCTTAGACTTTGCTTGATTTCTTGGGTCTTCTATTGTGCTTCTAGGGTCTTGCTTGAGGTGTTGATAATCGGATCATCACGTCACCTTCGTCCAAGTCACGTTTGCAACCTAGTGGAGTACAAAACTAACACTCGCAAACATATTAGTTCAATTTGTTTTTGTTGATCATCAAACACCAAAATCCAAAGTAAATGGACCAATGGTCCATTTTCCTTACAATCACCCCTTTTTGGTGATTGATGACAACATGTCCAAAGCAAGTAAATAATAGAAATTTTGAAATTTAAAAAACTATCTACTTGCTAGGATGCAAAGTAAGGGGCAAGTTTATATGATACTAAAGATATCACTTGTTTGAACTTTTGGAAACTTATCTTGCCCTTGCAAATGTCTCCAAATGGTATTATGGACTTAAGCCTCACCCTAACTCCATAATCCACTTTTCTCCCTTTCTCGGACCTTGCTACTTGTAATTTAATATGGTCGAGCTTGCTTTTGGTCCTATAATTTCTCCTCATTTGGAATCAAACATCGAAAAGGAAGACATTAGTAGCACAAGGGAGGGTCAAATTTTGTGATCCTTTGAATGTGGAGTGAAATAGATCACAAAACTTGACTCTCACATTACCTAGACTAAGCTTCCCCTAAAAATATGCATACATATGGTGAAAGGCAAAGCATATGCATAATTCGCAAATTATTGCTCAAGGGAGTTTAATCGAAATAATGCATGGAGAAAGCATATAAATACCAAATTGAAATCAACATGACGATATCGGTTTAGAAATACCACACGTAGAAATCAATTTGATTGACACCACTTGCAATAGGTGGTGGATTTTTGAAGCATGATGCTTAACTCCGGGGACTCCATTTTCCTTGCAATGAGACTACTACACATATGATAAGCTTGAAATAGTGTTAGTCTCAAAGCATCCAACTTGTAGGGTAATCTTCTACTAAATTTGTGCATACAAGCATAGAATACTTATATGAGACATGCACATTGATTTTAGAATCAAATATACCACTTGAAAGATGACATCACATGAATGTGAGAATCATTTTTGAAAATGATATTCGGGGGAAATTATCTACAATTTGTACTTTGGCACATATTAGGTAAATAATTGTAAAACAAGCTATGTACCGTGCTCCTAAACAATTTAAACCATGTAGGTTTGCTCCAAGGGTTAAGAGTGAAACCGAGCAAGCCTGCCATAAGATATACCTAGTATATTCAAGACAAAAGATTAAACATGCAAATGCAAACCTAGGCATAAAAAGGAACTAGATGCTAATTGAAATAGCAAGAAATTAAATCTAGTTACCTAACATGTGAAAGGGAATTTGGGTCCAAAATATTTACTAACCCACTTGGCAATTACCCTGTCCATAATGATGCACCCCATAAAATGCACCCATACTTTGTCAAGTCTCCAAATTCCCCAAAGTCCATTGGACTTCTCACTTCTCCTTCGGGATCCAAATCTTCTTGGTGCTCTTCATGTTTGGAAAATTTTCCTTTGGTACCCAAAAGCATTTGGTCCCATAGTTGGCTTTCTTGTTCACCTTGATGACCACCACCTTGTCATTCTTTTTCTTCTTGAAGAGATAAGGTGTGGATGCCTTCTTGTCCACCTTGTTGTGTAGGTGTCGGAGAGCTTGCTTGTTTGCTTTTTGTTTTTCTCTTTCTTCTTAGCTCCTCCCCCATTCTTCACCTTGCACTCATAGGACTTGTGGCCTTCCTTGTGGCATACGTAGCAAACCACGATTTGTCCTTCATCAAGCTTCTTCACTCCCTTAACGGTGTTATCTTGATAAAGTTGGGCTTACTCCGTCTTGCATTGCACTTGAGTCAAGTCCTTGGTGAGCCGAGCCACTTCTTGCTTGAGTTGCTCAATCTCCAATGTGACCTCTTGTGTACTTGTTTCTACAACAACCTCAACATAAGCTTGGTTGCACAAGGGTGAGTCTAAACATAGATCATTGCAAGAAGTAGAGGCATCCTTTTTAGGCATGTCAAAAATTGAATTTTTCTTTTTAGGTGTCTCGGTGGGGGTTGTACCGACGACTTCAAGATTTGTAACTTTATTAGTTAGCTCATCACAATGTTTGCACATGGTTTTCATTTTAGCAAGCAAATTTTTATAAGCATCTTGTGAGGAAGCTAATTTTACTTTTAACTTTTCATTTTTCTTTACAAGTTGCTCATCATTGATTGTGCAATTATTTGTTTTTGCACTAGCCTCAAGTTGCTCAATTTTAGTTGATAGCTCCATATTAGGATTGGCAAAAGTTTCATATTGTTCAAGCAAAGTAGGATAAGCTTGTTGTGAGCTATCTAGTTTTTATTTTAATTTTTCATGCTTCTTTTGTTGACTAGTGCAAACCTTAGCAAAGTTGAGATTTTCTTGCACAATTTTATCATAAGAAGGTAGCTCATCATCACTATCACTATCATTGTCACTATCACTAGGGATAGACTTTTTGTTACCTCGTGCCATAAGGCATACACGTGAAGTGTTTGATGATGAGTGCTTGTGCCCACGCCTCTTGTGGTGGTCTTCTTCTTCACTTGAAGAGTCATCCTATGACCTTATTGATGTGAGAGCTTTATCTTTGCATGCCTTATTCTTTGTCTTGGGTGTGAGCTTGTTTAGACAAACTTTCACAAAGTGCTCCAACTTGCCGCATCCATATCATCCTTTCTTTCTTTGCTCATTTCTTTGATTGGTGAAAATGAAATCTTGAATGTGGATGGGTACACCCTTGACATTGAGCCTTTGGATCATCTTCTCCACCTTGTTGATAAGTTTGATTGATTCTTCATCTGGGTCGAAGGTGGAGGAGGAAGATTGATCATCATCACTTAATTCATCATCATCATCTTCTTCTTCTTCACTTGAGGAGCTTGAGCTTGTCTCAACTTGCTTGCCCTTCATCTTCTTGTGCTCACTACAAGTGAGAGCTTTGCCTTTTCTTGATGAAGAGGCTTCTTCGTGACCCATCTTACGTGACATCTCAAATGCCACTATCTTGCCAATGACTATGGCCGGGGTCATGGTGCTCAAGTCTTCCATGTTGTGAAGGATGGTGATGATGCTTGCATATTTTTTTTGTGGTAGCACG